CCCAGCCTGGTGCCACGGGGGCTGCGGAGGGTTCTGCCCGGCCGGGGATGCGGCAGCCCCGCCCGCCCCGCCGCAGCTGCGCGGGGAGCGCGGCACGGACCGGCCGGGAGCACCCTGGCCCCGCCGCTCCCTGCCCGCCGAGCGGCCGCAGCCCTCGGCCACAGCCAAGGCGACACGAAGACTCCGCAGCCCCCGTGGCACCAGCCTGGAGCTCGCCCCAGGCCTTGCGACCACCCAGGGACACCCCTCGTCACTGGTCTCTCCTTGGACAGTGAGCTGATGGCCACGACTCTTGGAAGCTAATTCCATATCCACCTATCGAATCCATGTCTCTCTGCGGGTCAGTATAAGGTGCTTTGCCCAAGTCCAGGTAAATGACATCAGTCACTCTTCCCTTACGCCCCAACACATTAACCCCATTGTAGAAGGCCACCAAGTTTATCAGGCACAATTTGCCCTCCATGACAATAATTTTACAAATGGTCTCATTCATATCCTCAGGTTTGCATGGAATAATTAGGAGAGTGCTTGCAAAATACATCAAGATCCAGTTGTTCTGTTTAAAACCATCTCCTGTAGAAATGTTGGTTTGATGGGTGCTATTGAGCAGTAATTTCTAGGGATGCCCAGAACCAAGAACACGGGATCCCTCTGCTCCGTGCACATGCATCACAGAGAGGGCCCAGGGCTCTGACCCACAGGTTTCCACCTGAACAACTGGTCTCATGAAGCACAGGAAGCGATGGCTAAATTGCAAAGGGCTTTTAAAATGCTTTGTTCTGGATTAAAATCACACCACAGCCATAGGGATAATAAAGGACACCAACTCTGAAAAAAGGCATAATTATCTTTTTGCCTCCTTAACAAAATGATCCACTATGGTTCATCCAATTCCATTTGCTACAGTATATATGAAAGCTGCACCATAAAGAAACCCAAGGACAGTAACTTATTTTTAGTTTTTTAATTGTACCATCCCACTGGTTGCTTTTCTACTGAAAGCCAAAATTATCTGTCAGATCCACTGACAGAACACCAGACAGCTGTCACCTGTGGCTACTTGGGACTCCTCTGATATTTGTCAATCCTTCAACATAGACATGGCACCTATACAAGTGCCTATTCTACTGCTTTAGTGAAACATCTCCCATGTTGTTCAAGACAAGCCAAAGCCATTAAGTAGCCAAGCAGGTAACAGTCTCTGATGAGGACAGCAGTGATATCGCTAAGAGGTCATCCAAAGAAATGCAGTAAAGACCAGAGGTCACGGGGCAGAATCAAACTTCAAATGTACTTTCACTTCAGCAGACAAGCCCCTTCCAATGCCTCAGTCAGTCCTGTGTACTGGCACACGTCTGCCCTCTAACTGGAATGATGTGGCGAGAAGCAGAGCAGGTTCCCACATTCTCAGCACAGGCCCTTTCACATCAGCTGCCCCTTTGCCTATTGGGGCATATCTGTCTTCAGCTGTGAGCTCTGCCAACTCCTGCCCTTCATGGGAGGGCAGCAACCAAAGGAGGAATTTCCCTAGAAAGAAGTGGTTACACGTCCCATCTGCAGTGTCACATCCAACGCACAGGTCAGAGGTATCAGCACTGTTCATGTTCATGGTGTTACAGAGGACAGATTGAGCGGGGAGACACGACGGGTGGGAGTGTTGTTGGCCGACAGTGACGCAGGGAGGAACAAGGGAGCAGGAACATCTGTGGATGATGTTTCTCCTTGGTTGCGAAGCTGTAAGATCTGCCGCAGCAGGGCCTTTCCCTCTTCTCTAGTCTGAAATTCATTTGTAGAAAACAAAACAATGCAAATATGAATGGGTGGTTTCTGGGTCAAATTCAGTATGTAAGCAGTGTAAGTTATAGTAGTTTGTCATTCTGTAAGGCTACAAGCTATAAAAACCATCCTCATTTCTTTTTTCTTCTGCTCCTGAAAAACGCTAAGGTAGGTCACTTTTTTTGGCTTTAGTCCTTCCTCCTTTTACTCCCCTGATTGGCACATTTCTTGGTTATTTCAGAGAGCGGAACAACTGAAGCATTCTGGCAAAAAGTAGATTGGAAAAGCTTCAAATAAGCTGAATTCAGGTTTTCTAGAGCTCCAGGCAGCTTTGTTAAGCACAGGCCAAACACCCTGCACTCTTAGCTAGTGTGTGCCACTAGGCTGGACTTAAAAATCCCAAACTGCCCACTTACAGAACATCACAGAATATGGAGATGCACACAAAAACCAAGTATTATTATATCCTCTGCACTGCCTACACACAGAAGATGAGATAAAAGAAGTTTTATGAGTACCATCACTACACAGTGTGTGGGAGTTTGTGACCAGTTAACCACCTTCTCACCACCAAGATTTTCAGCAGCCTTAGGACTGACATGTGGAGCCTCAAATTCTTTTATTTAGTGAACACCAACGAGATATGGTTCAATTTCACTGTCTACATCACATTCCATGACTTGTATCAATCATAAGCAGCATTAGTTGTCAGGTGTACACCACCACTCAGGATGTGACCTGCATGGCAGACAGCCCTCACTCCCTCATAAAGGACTCTGAGGGGGGCCAAGATCAAGGTCATAGATCCCTTAAGCAAGAAGCACCACAGACTGTGCAGCTACTCACATCATTGAAGGCACAGCATTTCTGAGCACAAGCTGAGGCTTCATCCCAGAGCTTACACTTGAAGTAGTACTGGGCCAGGTAACGGAATGCAGTGCTGACCTCCAGGTGCTCCACTATCTCCTACAATGAGGGTAAAAAACACCTTCTGTAAGTGCCTTCCAAGACAGTTCTACACCATGTTTACTTCTCCTTTTATTCCCAAGTTATCCTCTTACCCCACAGGAATAGATATCCTGGATGTATTTGATGTAGCATTGAGCTGCCTGTTCAGATTCATTCAGCTGTTCGTGCAGCCTAGAAAAGGAGAAAAGTGGGTCACTGGAACAGACTGAACTGTTAAAGACCTTCTCGGTCTATAAGAAAGTACCTGCTCAACCTGACCTCGACTAAAGCTAGGTCCTTTCCTTCAGAATTTGCAGGACATGCACCATGTACTGCCCCTCGTGGAAAGAGATGATCCAGCTTGAAAACATTCAGGCTGGCAGGCAGAGAGGCAGTTAAATACTGACTGCCAGAAGCAGTGACAACCAAAGCAGGGACCTTTGCTTATTTTGTTCTATTTTAAAGCTTTTAACAGACCTTTGAGATTCTATTCACATGCTATCTCCCCCAGTGCTCCTTCTTCCCTGCTACATCCCAAATTTGTACAGCAGCTTCACCTTTCACTTGTCCTTTTTTTTCCCCTTCACTTTTCCCATTTTATATTACTTTATCCCCACTAAAAAAAAATAGTGCTGATGTCACAGGATTCGCATTTATTTCACATTAGACCCTTTCCCAATGTTACAGCCATATACTAGAGAGGAAAAATAATATCAATCAAGCTACAATTTTGTACATCATCTACCATCATGGATTGCTGTTAAGCTGCAATACAACAAATGCAATTGCTAGCACTGCCTGTTCAAATCACCTCAGGATTCAGAGGTGCCTGGCAACCCACACTGTGCTATCATTCCCTCTAGTTATCCTGATGGAAACTTAAAGCTAAAGCTGGACACCAGAATTTGCAGTCACTACAGACCAAAAGACAGCAGTTCTTACACAGCTCCAAAAGTAATACTAACTAACAGCAATTCCACTTGTTTACATTCAGTATTTTATCATTAGGTATCAAAATGTGACTTGCATTTAGCACAACCCTGATGGTTCAGTGACAGTCCATACTCACTTGGAAAGTTTCACAAGTGCCATTTTCTCCACATCTCCCACAGCATAAGCCCTCCAATAGCACTGTCAAGGAAGGAAAGTCAGTCAAGCACACCAAACAATGACCCCAGCACAGATGTCAACAACAGAAAACAACAGGGTTTGTCAGCAAAAGGGGCAGGTATCTGTAGACAACTCCTTATTTATCAGCTGCTCTAAATACATCGCAGCAGTTGTAACTGCCACAGGAATGAATTCCAGCTGTGTGCAGTTTGGGTAGCCCTAGCTACACAATTTTGCTGTGATTCCACCCACTGTCCTGGGAAACACCTTAAAGTCTCATACATCAGTTCTCACCTTTTTAGCTTCCACCAACTGATTGAGTTTCTCATAGCATTCTCCTAGAGCAACCAGCATACGAGAATCGTTCGGTCTGTAAAAGAGCAAAAAACTGAAACAGTTAATGATTTACACATTCTAGGATCACCAGGGGAACTCTGCAGGCTGGGAAGAGGTGGCTGCTCACCCAGAGGGGCCCACCCCCTGCCAGTGCTGCTGAGGGGTCAAGTCCTGAAAGGTGGGAAGAGCAGTTTTTGCCATGCCCTTCACAAGAACTCTGTGCAGAGACGTTGGAGGCCCGTGGCATGTCCTGTGACACTATCCATGGAAAAACTCCCCACCCCAGGAGGTACAAGGCATTCCCACCTGAGCTGGAAGTATATAATAACTCATAGCTTCCTTGAGCGTGTGGGTTTCCCTCCCCCAGCCCCAACGGATCAAGACCACCACTTCAACTAACAGACATGGAAGCTGCAACTACCAAATTTCATCGCTGGACCCTGTGGGCAGTGACCATATACATTTTTCCACCCTTATCCTTTCTCTCCCTTATGCATTTTCCTTAAAGATTATCTTTATGCCATACTGCTATAGATGACAGATATAGATGATAACACCCAAAATGGCAACATACCTGTTTACCTTTGAAACAAAATTGTTCTAAAGTAAACCCTACATATATACATTTTCAAACACCGGTTATTCGGTGTCGCTTTTCACTCTCATCCATCCCAAGGGATTTATTAATAAGGAGCTGGTTACCTGCCCACACTTTTCCTGGGGCAGGTCACAACATTTTTGGCGTCATGGACAGGATCCTTTGGATGTGGTGGAGTAATTGGTGTAGTCCAAAACTGACACCAAGGGCGAGTCAAATGGTGACCGTCCCCTCATTATAAAATTAAAGTGATAATTTTTCTCCTCTCAGTGTGACCTGGGCACATTAGACCTGCTGAAAGGCTTTCTGGTGTAGCCTGGTCCTGTTGAAAGGTTCTCTGGTACCTGAGCCTGTTGAAAGTTTTTTCCAGGAGAGAGTCAAGACGACCCTCAGAGGGTTAAGGGGGAGAAAGACATTACCCTGAGCTGGGTTAATGACTGAGTCAAAAGGAATAACACCCCAGGGTGAGTTATATGGGGATTATTCCCTCTTGATGTCTGTCCTTGGGTTAGGACTACTTCTTGTAGGTGCTGTTTTGGGTGTTGTCCTTAGAGCAACACAAAAGGAGAGGTTGGCTATTCAGAAATTTTCAAGTGAAATTATAAGAGATTTACAAGAGTCAATGAAAGCATTGCAGGAACAACTAGAAAAAGAATGCTTGCAATTAACTGCTGAGCGTGAAGCAGTTTGGGGGGAAAAGGGAAATTAATCTGCTGCTTTGGTCAGCTCTCCAAGATGAGGAGGAGCAAAATGAAAAGCTTGAAAAGGCACTAGAAACAAAAAATTGTGAACTATGGGACATCAATTTAAGAAGTCCCAGACCAGTGGATGTTGATAAGTCCCTGTACCCCTCTGGGGAATTGGAAGAGTTTAAGCATCCGGAGGACGAACTAATACATATGTGTCCCCTCATTAAAACTGAAACCACTGGCCAAGGGGCAGCTCAGCAAACTGCACAAATTACAAAGTACTGATGTTTTTTCTCCTTCCCCAACTTACTTCCTGTATACAATTCCTTAGCCAGTAGCAACTATGTCAGAACAAAGACCGATAAACACGGCTCCATTCTCAACTCTACCTGAGCTGGTGGGCCCGTCTGTAGTAGTAGAGACAATAAAATGGCATCTTGAGGATTTCATAGGTTTGCCCCAAGCCATACCACGCTCTGTAGTCCCTTTTGTTCACCTCTATTGCATGTCTGTCAAAGAAAAGGAGATGAACTAGTCAGAAAGCCATCAGGATCAAAACCAAGTTCAGCAAAACATTAACTAAAAACAGAAGGTACTATTACAGACACAAACACCATTTTGTGCAGCACATGAGTGATACCTGTAAGCCTGGATAGCTGCAGATGTATTCTTCATTTCCATATACTCATGTCCCATAAGTGTCCAGGCTCCCAGATAACGAGGATTCAGTTTCAAGGCTCTTTGGAAATAGAGTGCTGCTTTTTCATGCTGGGAACGCAAGCTATAATAATTTCCTAAACCAAAAGTCACAATATTTAAATAAATTTTAAAAATCCACAACCAACCAACAAAAAAAAAATCCCAACACCAACAGAGCAGTAGAAAAAAGGTTGTAATAGGTATTATCTACTACCTCCTAACTTACATTATAAAAAGTAAAGAGTCCTACTAAAGACAGATCTGATTCAAACCTCAAGAGACCTAATAGCACTCTGTTCTCCAGTGTTCTGGTCAATCCTTTTCCAGTTGTACCAACCAATTTAAGATCCCATCCCCTTGGAATGTCATGATCTAACAAATTAATTTCCTGGTGCTGACACACGATTATTTCCATTGTAGAAGACTATAAAGAGATTTTCAGGTACATGGGTCTCCTTCCTGCACTGGCAGAAATGAGGGAAAAGGGTATTCTGTTGTTTAGTCTGCTTTTTGGGCTGCCTGAATCCACATTCACTGAGTGGTTTGGACAGCCTTGCTGGCTGATGACTTTCACAAGTGTTTCCTTGCACAGCCTGCAGACAGCAAATAAGAACCTGTAAAAGAGCTGGCTCTCACCAATGACACAGCAGGTCTCAACACGGTACTTGTCTATCTCACAGAGATTATGAGCCAGGTAGCTCAGCTCAGGCTTCATGCTCTAGTGAAACAAAGAAATTAAAGAGATGAGAAAGAGAGCATGCTAGGTTTTCTCAGAAAACCTAGGCAGTCAGCAATGCATACATCTCTTCTATGGAGTTGGGAAGCAGGAAGCCTGCATTCAGACAGCACCAGCTGCATTGCCAGTGTTTTACATACCTCTGACAAACACCATAAGTATGGCCAGGCCACAGAAAGAGTGCTTACCCTTACATAGAGCAAGTTGGAGAAAGTGTCCATGTTTTCTATCCTGTAAGGATCTTGTTTCCGTAGCTCATTAAAGATGGATAAGGCTTTGTCAATATCTGAAGAAAGAACAGCAGATGGGACACCAAGAACTATAAATGCCAAGTTTGCATTAAGGTGCTCATTCCTACTAGTTAGTGTCACTGACCTCGAATATTGTGGTAGGCAACTGCAATCTGAGAGATGATGTAAGTGCTCTTGGAAAATCCTGCATCAATGAGGCTCTGATACTTCTGCAGGGCCTCCTCTATCAGCTGTAGCTCTGTATAAATGTGTGCAAGAAAGAACTCTTTCATCCATGTATCTGGCAAGGACAGGAACTTCAACTATCAAGAACCAAAGAAGAGAAGGAAGAGATGACAATCAGTAGCATTCTACGAGCCACCTGTGGCAAAGAATCCATTATCTTCCCTCCCATGATTTAGTGATGGTCTCAAGGTAGGAGGCTTTCCTGCAATTGCTTTCTTAAACCATAACACCAGCTACAAAAGAGCAGTATTAGGACCAAGAATTAATGTCAGGTTCCTCTGCAGGACAAACTAAATAATGCCTATAAACTGAGAGCATTGAAACAGCAAAGGAGCACTAAGACACGGCGTCTAAAAAAGCAGTACAACATGGACCATGTAATTCTACTTAGTTAATCCCAATCTATTCCCATGACTGTTGAAATTGCAGATAAAATGAAACCATTTGGTCAATTGGTGAAGATATTGTCAAATCTGACATCACCTGGCTCTTCCTTCTGCCACTAAGCTTATTTCTCCATTAAAATCAGAAGTCCTTCGAAAGACTGCACTTTCTTCCTATGTTTGAACATCGGTATCATATCACTATTTTCAAGGAACTAAGTGAACAGACTCCAAATGAGCTCATAAAAAATGCATTTCCCTCCTCCCACAAATTGGTCAGGCTCTATTCTGTGTCACCTGTACTGTTTTAAATACTTCATCAGCCAGAATTTACTGAAGACTTCCAGCAGTGGACTCATAAATTCCATGCAGAAAGAAAAACAATCTATTTTGGTTTTATATCTAAGTTTGGTTCTTTGATACCATTCACCTCATATGTGTGGCTTTGTGTACATTATTGTCTCAGCTTTAGAAAAAGGAAGTCTTGGGAGGATGTCCTTCATGGGACAAGGTGATAACCCTGGTGACAACTACTTCAGAATACATGAATTAGACATTTCTTAAACCACTTTGTGGGTGAATGATATGAAATTAACCCTGCCTGTATAAGGATTCTCAATCTACAGCATGGCAAGCAATTGAAGAAAAAGGGGCTTTAAGAACATAATTTAGTCTTGGATTGCCTTCCCTGATAGAGTCTTAGAATAAAGCAGTGGGCAACATCAATCTTGTGGCAACAGAATCACTGGTTACTTAATCAGGCTAAACTCTGGAATTTGTTAACACATCTTGGTATCTCTCAAGTTTTACCATCTCTTTATCTGTAATTAGGTTGCAAAGTTCCAGCCAGGCTCCCCAGTGCAAAGGCAAGACATGAGCAGCTTCAACAAACACATCTATTGCTTCTTTCACCAGGTCCAGCTTCCGCAGCACAACACCATACCTGTAAAAAGTTATTAGGTTAATCACAATCATAAAACTCTGCATATCCACACAAATATATAAAAAATGCATGCAGATGCTTACAGATAAAGGCCAAATCCATCCAGTTCCCGTGCCTTGTGCTTCTTGCTGAGCTCAACTCTCAGTTCTCGTAGAGCTTCATTTTTCACCTGTCCTTTTTCCAGAGGTCCTGCATGAAGAGAAAGTCACACAGCAAGCTTTCAATCAGGACTCTCACCATAGCAAAAGTCTGGGGCACATTCAGAATCATCACTGACAAAGGCTTCACAGCCTGTGAATATTTTCCTTATTTTAAAGAAAATCACTTAGCCCGGTCACCTACTTTAACAGAAGACCTAAGAGATGAAAATCTGTAAGCTGTAATTAAGCCAATGAATGGAAAGAGAATGAAAGAAACCACGTTACAGCACACTATTATCAAAAAAATTGAGGGGAAAGCCATAAACCCAAGATGATTTACATGAAGAGATAATAATGACAGTTTTGTTACATTGTCTTGTATTTCTTGACACCAGAGACTTACCCAAACTATCCACTGTCTCATCATCCTTCTTCTTTTCCCCTGACTGTGGAATAGAGAGGAAATTCAAGATTACAATAGCATATTCCCTATGTTTGCTGCAGTGCTTGCAGCAGCACGTAAACTGTTTTCACAAACATTACAGTTCTGCCAAGAACAGTCCTATTTTCCTTTCCCCCAACACAGAATTTGGACTTCAAGGTGGCCATTTGGAACAGAACAGGCAAAAAATAAGGTATGCCAGGGAGGGGTGAGAAGCAGAGGAGTTTAGTGCTAAAATGCAACTTTTTCCTCTCCCTTACCAGGTATCTGGAGTACATGTACAAGAAGTAAGCTTTCTGGCTCTTGCAGCCCCGTAAAAAGTAGGCAGCCCTGTCATATTCCTTCAGATCAAAGTAAGACTTGGCCAGTGTGTAGGCATCCAGGTCACGAGCATCCTCCTACAGGGACACATGGGACTTTTAAGACCTGAGAAGCTCCAACATACTTTAGGAAAATCACAGTTACAAACATATCAATGAAACTGCTCCAAAAGCTAAAACTGTAGTTTATGTACCCCAAAGATAGTTTGAGTACTATCAGAAAAGTCCCTCCGCTCCCTCACATGATCAGATTCTGCAGTTTTCAAATAACAAGTACAGACTAGTTAGGAACATTTAAAATACACAGGGAGATTCCAGAAACAAATCGTGGCAAGCTGCCAGAAGGCAGGAATTAGCTGCCCAATAAGTACAAATGACCACAAGCAAGAAACCTGCTCAGGAATTCTACATCAAAGAACATTAACCTGCTAATATACACAAGAACATGTCCTTGGTAACTACATCTTGACATGCATTTATGACACGTTACACTTGTGCAAGTTATCAGCACAGGCACACACCTATGAGTCCTACCGTACACCTACAGAGGTGGGGATAGAGACACAAAACTTGGTTCTCTTGTGTCCTAAAGAGCACAAGTTTAGTGGCGTAACATAATTTGTATTAAAGTAAATTTTTACCTCAGTAAAGAGAAATAATTTTGCTTTCAGAGTACTCAATTCAGGACACGGCAGCAGAGAATGCTTTCATCTGGGAAAGCACACTCAGCTCTGCCGCCCCACTGAAGACGCAACGGAAGAGGAAGCTCCTAAGCGGTCCGGCCTCCCGCCCGCGGGCTTTGGGAGATCGGGATCACGTTTTTTCCGCAGGACTTGGGATTAAGCAGCCCAGCCCGCGGGAGCTGCAGCGCGTTCCCCGGGGCTCGCAGCCCGCCCCCGGCCGTACCTCGGTGAGCGCGGGCGGCGGCGGCAGCTCGCTCAGCGGCAGCGGCTCCAGCGCGAACGCGAGCTCGGCGGCCCTGGGCGGGAGAGAGCGTTACAGTCATCGCAGCCCCCCGGGCTGCAGGAGATCTTTAGGACCGTCAAGTCCCAGCCCAGCACTGCCGCTGTAACCCCCTAAACCACTGAACATCACCCAGCGCCAGATCCAGACGCCTCCTGAACACCTCCAAGGGACGGTGACTCCACCACCTCCCTGGGCAACCGATTCCAATGCCTGACCGCCCCAACAGTGAAAAAATAGTTTCTTATATCTCACTGAATCTCCCCTGCCTCAGCCTAAGGCCCATTTCCCCTGGTCTTCTCACTGCGGGAGAGACAAGGCCCCACCTCACCGCAACCTCTGTCGGGGGGTTGCAGAGAGCGATGAGGCCCCCCTGAGCCTCCTCGAGGCTGAACCACCCCGGCTCGCTCAGCCGCCCCTCACGGAACACGTTGGCGCCGGGCCCGCCGCGCCCGGCCCGGCCCCGCTCCCCGTTCCCCGCTCCCCGCCGTGCCCGGCCCCGCTCACCATTTCCCGCTGTGCTGCAGGCCCCGCTCGCGGCTCCGCTCCGCCACGCTCAGCAGCTGCTTCTTGATCTCCCGCAGGTCCGAGAAGTCGCCGCCGCCGCCGCCGCCGCCGGGCGCCATCGCCACAGCGGCCGCCATTGCTGTGGGGTCTCGAGCGCTGAGGGAGGGCGGGGTCTCCGCGCTGAGGGCGGGCTGTCAGCCACGGGTTTGTGTCAGGAAACATGTATATACACTGTCATAAAATACCTGCCTTTCCTCCCGTGCACCCTTTTATTAGAGATTTACTGCTTCGGTAATGTGTAGAGGAGGCAACGTGAATTCCTTTTACTTTCAAGGGAAAATCGTGTGAATTTCTTAAAACTCTCACAAGGTTTTAGGACCTTTATGAAAGCATAAATTCTACTCGCAGCAAAAGCCGTTTCTTTAAAACCCATTTCGAAATGCACATACTAACCAGCCTGTCCCACTGCAAGCTGGGGCTCACAAGACGGAGGCTTGTTCGCCTTCAATCTGCCCATCATTCCACACGAAAATTAGGCATTTTAGTAGAAATAGTCTAAAAACATCCACGTGGGAGGTAGCATTTGGTCTTCAGGGGCACACAAACACTGTGCAAGGACTATCAGAGGGGTCTCAGCCCTCCTTGGACCGGGGCACACCGACCCTGGTGGGCTCAGCTGCTCCCTCGGGGCACAAACACTCCCTGCCCTCGCCTTCTGCTCTTCAAGGCCATGTGATTGTTCCTCGGTGAGGAACTCCAACGTGCCCGAGCCTTGGTGACAACCCTTCAGTGTCGCTTGAAGATTTTTCACTCACATGCTGCAGCTTCCTGTGCTAAAAATCATAATTTAGAAGCATTAAGTAGAATCAGTCCTAATGGTGGTCTTGCGAGCCCGTACTTTCAACGCGGTATTTTCTTCTTCGTTTTGCCCCTTGTGGACTTCAGTTTCTGTACTATTAGAACCAAACACCATAACAAAGATATGGAGTATT